AAGGAAAGGGTGATCGCTCAGAACTCACTATAGGGTGGATGTGGACACATTGGAGAGGGTCCAGTGGAGGGCAACCAAAATTAGGAGGGGGCTGTAGCACATGACCTATGAGGAGAGGCTGAGGGATTTGGGTTTATTTAGTCTGCAGAAGAGAAGAGTGAGGGGGGATTTGATAGCAGCCTTCAACTACCTAAAGGGAGGTTCCAAAGAACATGGAGAGAGGCTGTTCTCAGCGGTGATGGATGGCAGAACAAGGAGCAATCGTCTCAAGTTATAGTGTTGGAGGTCTAGGTTGGATATTAGGAAATTCTATTTCCCAAGGAGAGTGGTGAAGCACTGGGATGGGTTCCTTAGGAAGGTGGTGGAATCTCCATCCCTAGAGGTTTTTAAGTCCCGGCTTGACAAAGCCCTAGCTGGGATGATTTAGTTCAGGTTGGTCCTGCTTTGGGTAGGGGATTGGATTTGATTACTCCTGAGGTCTCTTCCAGCCCTAGGAGTCTATGAACTCAGAACTGGGTGTGTAACCGTTATTCGCGACTTTCTCCTTTTTGTACTTCACGCTATTAAAGATCAATGGTTTGTCCTAGAGAATGACATTTTACATTGTCATTGATTAAAAGAAGAGACACGCTTTTTATCTCTCTCGCACTTTATCTATAACAGAAAACGTTCTGGAATCATATCCACAAGATCAAATTCAACAAGGCTGTTCAACAAACTCCAGAAAATAGCAATAGCCATTTCAGTAGCTTTGTCAAGACTTTTCCATAGAACTCTCAATCCCATTCAATTCGGTACGAAGTTTCCATAATGGAATCCGTATGGAAGAAACCACACACCAAATGTGGGTGATGAGAGGAATTTGATGGCTGAATTGCAGCCCCCTGAGTGATAGCACCAAAGAGTGGAAATGCTGACAGACCCTCAACTACAGACTTGCTCACATAGAGCACTCTCTTAGTAGCCTATTATGAACATACATTACAGGGAGCAGATGCACTACCGTAACGGCACCACAGTGGCATTGAGATTTACCCTTGAAATTTGTCTCTGATTCGTGTATATAACAGTTTATATCACTTTCTTCTTCAACTTGTCAGTGGGGCTATTTTATACAAAAACTAAAGCATCATCAGGTGGAACATGGCAGTACTGCTTGTATGTTAAATATCGAAAGCTTTACTCTAATCAGGAGGAATCGTGTATTTCAAAATCATTTCTTTTCTGTCTCCACCTTTTTATAATAGAGCTAGATGGTCTTGTGGTTAAAACGCTGGGCTGGGACTCACAACACCTGGGTTGAATTCCCCACTTTGCCACAGACTCTCTGTGTGACTCTGGGCAAATTACTTAATCTCTCTCTGTCTCAATTCCCCAGCTGTAAAATTGGAGTAATAACACTTCCTTTCATCTGTTTCAGGATCCAGCATGTCTACGCACAATGAATCCCTGTGGGTACGTCTATACTGCAACACTATTTCGAAATAACTAGCGCTAGTCCAAAATAACTTAGTCTGTGTCTACACAGCAGGCAGTTATTTCAAAATAGTATCAAAATACTGTCAAGCTGGAGGACTTCTTACTCCGACTCCTGTAACCCTGTAACCTCCAACTCCTGTAATTGTACGAGGAGTAAGGGACATTGGCAGAAGAGTGCTCTATTTCAAAATAAGCGCTGTGTTGATGCTCCCTATTTCAAAATAAATTATTTCAAAATAAGCTACGCAATTGACGTCACTCAATTTTCATAGCTTATTTCGAGTTAAGCCCTGCAGTGTAGACGCACCTTATGTTTAGTTGAGGTCTCTAGCTTTGTATGCAATATGAAAGTATAAATTATCTTTAACAAATGAGCAGTCCTGTGGCATCTTAAACAGATCTGTTTGGGCATAAGCGTTTGTGGGTCAAAACCACTTGGTCAGATGCATGGAGATGTAACAAATGGCAGCAAGCATCCACCTGCTACTCAGTGACTCTAAACAGATGTCTCCATGCCAATAACAAGTGGTTTGGACCCATGAAAGTTTATGCCCTAATAAATCTGCTAGTCTTTTTGGTGCCACAGAACTCCTCTCTGTTTTTGCAGATACAGACTAATGTGAGACATGTAAATGATCATCATTATAGAATCACAGGATTGGAAGGGACCTCGAGAAGTCATTTAGTTTGGTGCCCCAAACTAAGTTACAGTGGAGGAGGTCTAGGTTGGATATTAGGAAAAACTATTTCCCTGGGAGGGTGGGGAAGCACTGAAATTAGTTACCTAGGGAGGTGGTAGAAACTCCATCCCTAGAGGTGTTTAAGTCTCGGCTTGACAAAGCCCTGGCTGGGATGGTTTAGTTGGGTTGGTCCTGCTTTGGGCAGGGGGCTGGACTTGATGATGATCTGAGGTCTCTTCCAGCCCTAGGATTCTATGATTCTAAGTATTATTTAAGTATTATAATTACACTCATGATTTGTCTTTAGCCACCTATTCAGTGCTTCTAACTCTGCATGACACTTAGCACCTTTTACCTGAGGCTCTCACAGGTAAAAGCATTTAGACACCCTGTTCCTATTCAAATCAAGGGGGAGGATACTTACGTATCTTTAAAAAACTGGGCCAAAAGGCCTAGCACTTGGGATTCTGATTCTATGTGGGGCTTTTAAAATCTACCATAAAAATAATAATAAGAAGAGGCAATCTGCATCTTCCTCCCTCTTTAATCTTCTGGGGCTGGTGTTATGGCCTATGGGTTTGTTAGGAGAATTGCCTGATGGAAGATGAGCATAAAGAGTATTTGTTTCAGCTACACCAGACTAACACGGCTGCATCTCTATCACTCTTTACAGAAAGGGTTCTCCACTTCTTCACAGTGTGGACCACATTTTAATTGGTTGCCTCATGGACCAACCACCCATCTGCCTCCACAGAGACTACTTTCTCCAACACAAATTTGAGCGCCTACACAGAATGCTTATAACATCAAGGACATATTAAAGACATTTTTAGCTGTTTTACTTTCCACAAGAGAGGCTTTCCTGTGTTTGGCTATATTACCCTTCCCTCGCTATTATTGTATGTAACCGTCAGCCACCATCCTCCACCCAAGAAGTGGCTGCATTTTATTGGTGCAGTAGGTAACATCTGTAAAGCAGTATGAGCACAAAAAGAGCTATGGAAATTTTTTTTAAACCCTTTGCATTTCTTCAAAACAGACTCATGATATCACAGCCACAGAGAGAGAAAAATAAACATGTTATTTTCATAGCTCGGACGTTGTTTTTGCTGCTATTAGCAGCAGCAATGACCTGGGGGAATTGATTACACCAGGTGAATCTATCCTTAATGGCTGTGTTTATCATTTTGCCTAAGATGATGGGAGAACTACATGTCCTTGGATAGATAGATTGAAAAGTTGTCTAATTTTACACCAGCTTATGTACCTCTGCATCTTCTGCTAACGTGCTAGTGTGTAACATATGGTGGTAAGCACCCACTCGCTCCTCAGTGAATCCAAACAGATATCTCCATGCTGATAACAGGAGCAAAATAGGCAGATTATATTATCGTCTCTCTCTTCTGCTATTTGTCATGTACATCTTCATGTCCTCTTTGGTAAATACACTAATTAACATGTCAGAGAGCTGCATTATAGTTTGACTTCAACCCTCTATAGATGGCACAAATAAGCCCTGCTCATAAAATACAGACTTACAAAAAGGAGAATAATTTTCCCATAATAGACGTACATTGCTCTGTTTTATGCATTTCTCCATTGTCAAGGCCCTGATTCTGCAAACACACAAACGCGTGAGCAGCCCAAATCCATTGGATTTTCCAGTATGCATGCATTCATATCTTTGCAGGAATGGGGCCTAAACAAGTAGGAACAACCACAGAAGAACTTGAATTTTCAGGTTCCGACTCATGATATGCTCAAGAATTAACAGATTCTCCCCTTGTAAATTTTATATCAGACACAACCCTGGTCCTGCAACCCCTTGGCAAGTGAAATCCATGAGAAAGCTCATTTGCATAAGGGTTGCTAGGTCAGGGTCCCTTATGGATTTTTTCAATCTAGTCTCTGTACAATACAATTACATTTTCATGTAGATTGGAGATCTCAGTCACTTGCGGTCCATTTAGTTAGCTGCTAGTTAAAGAAGTTGTGCTCAACCTATTGAGGGCTCAGATTTATCCTTGCACAGAGCTAGGTAAATCAAAGCAGTCTTTTTGACAGGAATTTGCTTACTAAAAATTATGGCCGGAGTCTTATCTCACAAGCACTGGTATAAATCCACGGTTAGTGAGGTTATTCAGGGGCAAGATCAGAATTGGCCCTCTCTCTTTCTCATTAATTATCTAATTTATCTCCAATCTAAATAAATAAATACATTAATATATTCTAAAACAGGCTGCCGCTTGATTGGCATACTGATAACAAAAGAAGATTCTTTTCTTCTTTAGTTGTTTAGCTGCTTTGGTTTCTCTTTCTAAAGTTATAGAGAGAGAGAGAGAGAGTGTGTGTGTGTGTGTGTGTGTGTGTAAATGTTGGCCACAAAATAAACTGGCAATGTCCATTTAAAAATTAAAACCATCAAAATTCATTTTGCACTCAGCTCATTGGCTTCTTTAGACACAAGGCATTCTGCCTATCCTTAGGGGCCTTCCTGAAAACAAGAGGTTACCCCCACTGAGAGAGAAATGTAAAATAAATACCCATTATAAATAAAACATCTTCCAGGATGCAGAGCAATGATCTCAAGTTACTGTACACTGAATATATCTAGAGAGAGAGCCATACTGTATCAGCATGAGCTTTAAGCTGCAAAATATATTAACATGTGGAGTAACAGTCCCTTACAACCTCTACACAATGATGAAGCTCTCTCATTAAACTTCCAAATGCTGCAAATAGCAGAACAGTTTTCAAATGGCATGTGGCAAGTATTTAAAAAAGAGTGAGAGGAAGAGACACTCCTGTTCCAGCCCACCCCAGTAAATCACGTTCACCTACCAGTGTAAATAAACCTGCCCGGGGCTCCTTTGCAGAACTGTTTGGATTTATACGAGAGTGTGACTTCAACTACACCAGGAATGTGACGAGGGGGTGTCTGGACTCGAATGGCATGAGGTGTGATCAGCTGGGAAATAACAAGAGAGAAGCATGTCATACATGGGATGTCTGAGGTTTCCCCCATTGGCCCTTGGTTGTTTTTCATGCAGATACAACTGTTTATGACTTCCTAGGTATTGCCAGAGCTGCTCAGACCAGCGGTCTGTCTACTCCAGCACCTTGCATCCAATCA